CAAAATCCGACTTGTAGAGTGTAATTTCTGAAATTTACTTGATTGAATTGATTGAAATCAATTAGATTGTATTTTAATTATATTATTATTATTTATATATTATTTTATAATATTAGGAAAGTGTAGCCTACAGTGTCCTTGAAAAATTTAAGCTGAATTTTTCGTGACAATTTTCGAATTGATAAGTTGAAATGGTAAGGAGCATAATGAAAATTTTTATGTCACTCTCATATAAAACTGACGACTATCAGTTATATATAAAAGTGCTGACTAACACAGTACGACTAACAACAAATAACAATAAAATAAAAAACGCTACCGCTCATGACATTCTCCGTCTCGTTACTGCGAACGTACCAGGGGAAATTCTTGAGGTGTTGTTTACCCTTAAGGCGATTTGCCCAAGTATCTGTTAAGAAGATAATTAGAAAAGTTTTTCAATTAGTTTAATTTCGTTGTAAGTTGGTAAAGATTTTTGAAGCTTACGTCCGAACGCTGTGCGTGTCTTGTAAATTTTTACAAGTTATACACACCTACTTATTTTCATAAAATTTTAAAGCTACTTAAATATGAGAAATATTGATGATCCGCTACCAACTGCAACTGTGGATGATGACATTTTATGTATTTAACTCTAACAGTTACGCCAAGTGCCGAGGTTTTCCCAAGAGACTAGAGCGTGTGGTTCTTCAAAAGAGGGGTAAAGAGGTTTCTTCAGGGTCGGCAACGCGCGCGTAATACCTCTGGTATTGCAGGCGTTCATAAGCAATGGTAACCGCTTAACATCAGATCGGCGGTATGCTTGTTTACCATCTCAGTGGTATAAAAAAAAATTAAACAAGAAATACTAGATGTCGCTAGAATCGAAATTTGCAGCTTTTGTTAATTAAATTGATGTAAAATTTTTATATTGGCGCGTCGTTTTTATAATTATGTACTAATGTGAAAAGACTGATACTTCACGATCTATTTCTGAATAAATTATAACTCAAATAATCGCAACGTTTTTTCCTAGTATATGTTTTTTTACAAAGTTGTACAATACAAAAGAATAAAGACAAAACTTATAATAAATTATTACTATTTCGGGGAAGCAAAAATAAAACCACTCGCCAATTTAGAAATTTTGCCCCAAATTAACTTTAATTATAAAATAATCAACAAAAACCACAAATCGCGATACTAGCGCCATCTAGTTCCTATACGATTTTGTTTAATGATCACATTAAGAAACCGCTAACAACTCAATTTGCTAATGTGTAATAGTCCAAATACTATTTTTTTAATGGGTGATAATGAAAAATGAAAAAAATGAAAAAATGAAAAATATTTATTTCGTAACAAAATTGATACAATACTAAGATCGTTGTTGTGACCTTCTAGTAAGTGTTATCACCTGTATCAGAAGGTCACGCTCCTCCATAACCATGCAAATACATAAATCATAGTACCATGAAATTAAGACATAAACATTATCTAATATTAGTAATAAGTATATCTAAATGCATGCATGCGTGTGTGTGCATGCATACATGTGTGTGTGTGTGTGTGTGTGTGTGTGTGTGTGTGTGTGTGTGTGTGTGTGTGTGTGTGTGTGTGTGTGTGTGTGTGTGTGTGTGTGTGTGTGTTTATGTATGCGTGCGTGTGAGTGTATGTGTGCATGTACGTGCGCCATGTACCAACTGTTGTGTGGTGTGTATGTTGTATGAGTGTTTGTGTAGTTTTACGCTAATCTGTATTGTTAAGATTTTTTAAAAAGTAACTCATCAATATTTTAATATTTGAAAAGTTCTTCTGTTTCGTGGTAATTTAAAGTTTTTAACCATTTAGTAATTACATCTTTACAATCAAATTTGTTTAGTTTATAGATATTTAATTTATTATTTAATAACTTGTATAAATGTGTTGATTGTTTACTATATTGTCGCATAGCAAAACTTGTCCTAACGTTATTTTCCATCAGAGTTATGTTTTTCCTACGTTTTAATAAATAAGAAAAGTCTAGTCCTACACTTTTGTGTCTTTTTAAAGTTGCATATAGTATATAAATCCTTCTTACTGACAATAAATCACACTCTTGATAAAGTTTGTCAGTGGGATAAATACGTGGTTTAGAGTAGGCCAGTTTTAGAAGAGCTCTTTGGGATCTTTCCACTTCTAAAAATTTTACTTTAGTAGCTCCACCCCATACAGGAATACAATACATCAATATAGATTGCGCTAGGGATATATATATTGATCTGATCAAAAATTTGGATGCCACATAACGCAGCTTAATAAAAATCCAAATTAGCTTTCGGACTCTAGTGCTGACTGCTTCTAAATGAGAATGCCAAGATAAGTGCTGGTCCATGTGTATACCAAGATATTTAATAGAAGTAGTTTTATCAATAGATGGACATAAACAGTCATCATTTACTTTATTGCAATTGTAAGAATGAATGATAATTTGAAATTCTGGTGATGGTTGCGTTGATTTATTTATGGTATAACATATATATTTCGATTTTAGAGAGTTTAGAGTAAGTAAATTATTTTTTAGCCAAAGATCAATTATAGTTAGTCCTTTTTGAGTATTCGTACGAATGGAATTCCATGTTTTGCCAGTAAAAACAATGGCGGTGTCATCAGCATATGAAAAGATCTTGGCATTATTTAATTGTATGTTTAGCAAATCGTTTATATAAATCAAGAAGAGCGTAGGCCCGAGCACACTTCCCTGAGGAACACCAAAATCTACATTGCAGTATTCACTAGTATACTTATCAATCTTAACGCATTGTTTCCTGTTTGTTAAATAATCACTAAGTAGAGCCAAAGGTACACCCCTTATACCGATCCGTTCCATTTTTTGTACAAGAATGGGGACAGAGACAGTATCAAATGCCTTTTTTAGATCTAAGAATACCGTGAGACATTTATTTCCTTTATCTAGTTGGTCTACTATTAAAGTTGTTAAAGCTGTTACAGCATCCTCCGTAGATATATTTTGTCTAAAACCAAACTGACAGTCCGATATGATATTGTATTTATTAAGATAGCTAATAATTCGTTTATTAATAATTTTTTCCATGATTTTTGAAAAAGCTGTTAATACAGATATAGGTCTATAATTGTTAACGTCGTCTCTGTCACCACTCTTGTACACAGGTGTTACAATAGCTTTTTTAAGAGATACAGGAAAAATACCTTTCCCAAAACAAAGATTAATTAGGTGAGTTATAACTGGTACTAGTACGTCCTTGGCCAGTTTTAGAAATGCTGTAGGGATTGCATCCCAACCAGAAGCACTTGAAGATTTCAAATTCATAAGGGTATTCTCAACTTCAACTTTATCAGTATCTAATAAAACAAAAGATGAAGTCTGACTACAATGAACATCATTATATTGTTCACTCACAGCATCAGAGTTAGTTGGAAGCATTATATACGAAGCTAGATCCTTTCCAATATTTGCAAAAAAAGTATTTACCGAATTAACTGAATCAATATTAGTTTGTTTTAAATTGAGTAGTGATGAATTGTCAGTATTACGTTGTTTTTGATTAGTTATAGTTTTGATAGTATTCCAGAGTTGTTTAGGATTTTTAATCGACATTTCTAATAAATGTTTTTCATAGATTCTTTTGAGCTTTTTTAATAGATTATTACAGTAATTACGATAGCGTCTATATGTTATTTTTAGTATTTCATTCTCAGGTTCTTTACGTAGCTTTATTTGCATTTTGTTTCTATTTCGGATACAACGAAGTATACCCGGTGTTATCCATGGCTTGATAATACGCTTCTTTTTAGAAATAGGTATAGTTTTAGTATTTTCTTGCAACGATTCCGAAACTATTTTAATGAGTAAGTCTATCAATAAATTAGGATTGTCGCAAAATAGCAACTGAGAGATATTTTTATTTTTCAGACTTTTTAAAGCTTTGCCGAAATCAGTAGATATAGTATTTTTAGTAGCAGTAAAACTTGGTTTATGAAGTGATATAACTAGAACAATCATTGCGTGGTCAGTTACGGTGGTATTTAAGACAGCAATTTTAGCACTTGTAATACTCGTATTTAGTTTAACCATGAAATGGTCCAAACAGGTCCCCTGTCTAGTAGGTAACTTATGTCCAGGCATAATTCCAAAAGATGCTAGCATATTAAGATAAGAGTGTCTATTATTTCGTTCATAAGATGCTTCATTATCTTTATTTAATAAATTTATATTTATATCTCCAACCAGAGTAATTGATTTATGGTTTTTCATAGTTTCTAAATGTAAGCTTAATGAATTTATGAATGATGCAGCATTATTGACTGATGGGGATCTGTAAATACCCAAGATACTATGGTTATGAACATCAATCTGAAGACACGATGCATCCTGCAACTTTATTTCTTTAGTATTTACTTTAAGTGTATTTTTAATAAATGCAACAACACCGTCATTTTGGTTAAGGTTTACCGTGGTTACATATGCAGAGTAACCTTCAAGAATAGGAACAGGCTTATCCTGTTGCAATCTGCATTCAGTCAAAACCACGACATCCGGTTGGAACTTAAGCAAAGCAAAATTAACAATTAAGTCGTCCAAGTTCCTATATACGCTTCTAATATTTTGAGAAATGATCGAGATATCATTATTTTTAACTTGAATATAACTATGTAGATCCTCAATCTCACAATTTATAGCTGATGCGATTTCTAAATTGTCTAAATCAGTTATTGTATTAAGATTATCCATAATTAAACTTTTTCAGTAAAATTGCTTTAATAAATCTAAATGTTTTCAACGTTGTAATAATATTTGATATTAGTAATAAATAAAAGTTAATTGATTGTAAAGATAAGATTGTAACATATACGAGTACAGGCATATTTGTATAAGATTGATAAAATAAGTAAAAGTTGTGAGTGTGTGTATTATTGTATAATGAAAAGTATGTAAGAGTATATAAATTTTTTACATTTTTATAAAAAATGTTATATCGAAACTTGTTTATATTAACTAGTCAAGAAGCATTCATAAGTTGGTTGCATTGAGCTTCTGACTTGAGAGTAATGATTGGCGAGTTTTCGTCCCGTCTAATATATACTTTCCCATAGGCCGTCCAACAAAATTTGTATTTTTTACTTTTGACGAGATCCCGAGCCAAATAGTGCAAGCGAGCTCCTTTACTTGTTAGATTTTCGGATATATAGATCGGTACATCCTCGTTCCTATGGAAACCTAAATGTTTTGCCATAAGCTTTGTTTTGTTTTTAACATTATACATTTTAGACATTTTCATGAGATCTATCTTAACAAAACTAGAAGAAGTTTCAACCACAATAGGGGTGTTCTTCAATCCATCCTTTTTGCCACGAACTCTGTAAATATCAGTAATATCTCTCCTTGAGATTTCACAACCTACGGTTTTTGATAGGTGGATTACCATGTCTACAAGATCTTCCCTTGTTTCACTCTCTTTTCGAGGTACATTTTTCAGCTCAAAGTTTTGTTTGCGACTTAACATCTGCTGATCCTCAATTCTATTTTCAAGTAGAGTAATATATTCACTGTCCTTCCTTCTTTGTAATTCTAAAGAATCGATTTTAGCGTTCAACTGTTTATTTTGTTCCGTAAGAAAATTGATAGACTCCAAAATTCCTTGATTTGTTTCTTGTACCTCCTTGAAGCTTGATAGCATTTGGCTAATTTTTGCATCAGAATTAGCAAAAAGAGCAGCCATCGACTTCATCATTTCATCCTTGAAAGCTGTAAGATCTGACATACCAATAATATCTTCCTCTCGTGATCTCTTTCTACGGGTCATAAGGAAATTTGTAGGAGTCAAATGTATGTCCGGCTCCGAAAAGGACTTTTCCAGAGAAACATTCATAGTAGATTAAAAAAAAAAAAAAAAAATGTATCTGCAGATTACAACAATTATAAACAGATGTTAGGTGACTAGGTGAATAGCTGTAGTATAGTTAGCTAAGGTGCAATTAGCCTCCTCCTTCTTGCTGTACTCCTATTATTTTATATAGAATTTATTAGAGAAAATTCAATTTAAAACAAATATGAACAACCAAGTAAAGTTCTGTGGTACGTCTACTCTTGACTATGGGAGTTTTTATTTATGTTGCTGGCAACCCCAATGCTGACACTGAAATAAGACGTTCAGTTGGTACCTCGTATTTGGCGAGTTTATTATTTATGAAAATGGCGGTATTTTGACTTTTTCAGTTTATGAAGACGACAAATAATCTTAAGTTTTTCTAATTAAATTCGTCACTGGCACTGTGATCACAACTTCTGTATGTTTGCCAAGCTTAGCTTTACTGGAATTGCACTTTATAGTAAGCAGTTTTTACTATTTTACACTGTTACTGAATTTTTTCACGGAGCACTCTGACGTACGTATTATCACTTTATACACCGGAAACGGAAAGGATGGAATGGTAACTCCACCCGCGTGAACGGTATACACTGGGAGGCACCAGTGAAGGATAATAGGTGAGGATGAAGCAGGTCAGTTAGCCCATCGTGACAAATTCAACAAGAATTGTTCACGACGGTTTCCAGGGGGAACCACGTAGAGATCGACCTAATACTGTCAGACTCCATTGCTAACAATCCCTTTCCCCCTAGTCCAAATATTATTAGGTTAACTCTTTTTTTTTTTTATATTTTTTTTTATACCACTGAGGTGGCAAACAAGCATACGGCCCACCTGATGGTAAGCGGTTACCGTAGCCTATGAACGCCTGCAATACCAGAGGTATTACGCGCGCGTTGCCGACCCTGAAGAAACCTCTTTACCCCCCTTTTGAAGAACCCCATGCTGTAGTCTCTCGGGAAAACCTCGGCAGGGAGCTCATTCCATAACCTGAGTGTTCGTGGGAGAAAGCATCTCTGAAACCGCGTTGTACGCGACCATTTAGGCTGTAAGGTATGAGGGTGAACTCCCCGCCGATGGCGAGCCGTACGATGATAGAAAGTGGCCGTAGGCATCATATTGAATAATTCCTCTGAGCACAATCCGTTGTATAAGCGGTAGAACACGCAGAGTGAGGCAAAATCTCTCCTAAGACTTAAGGGTTCGATACCGCTTGCAAGCATGGGATCATCGACAATTCTCATAGCTCGTCGTTGCACTGAGTCGAAGGGTTCAAGCTGGTATCTAGGTGCTCCCGCCCATAAGTGACAGCAATACTCCATATGGGGCCGGATTTGCGATTTGTAAAGTATTAGTCGCTGATCCGGCGTGAAGTAATGCTTCGCTCTATTGAGCACACCGAGTTTTTTGGATGCCAGCTTCACCTTATCTTCGAGGTGGCCACGGAACTGTACGTCACTAGAGATGTTGACACCAAGGATCCCAATGCTTTTAGAGATTTAACTCATTCGAGTTATACAGAAAACTCAAATAGTTAACATAAACAAGAGTTTTACTGGAAACCTTCCGTAAAAGATTTATTCGAATCATTGATTCGGAAAAATATTGTTAGCGCAAGCAAATATGATACGTGAAAGTATTAAATTTAATTAAAACAACCACTATGAAACCGACATGTGGTGGTAAATAATGCAAGAACATGCATACAGGCGGTTTGTTTGCTTACGGATTATTTTCACATTTATCTTCCTTTTTTAGGGTTCCTTATCTCAAAAGGAAACACAGAACCCTTCATCATTCTGTTGTCCATCTGTCTGACTGCATGTCGAGACCTTTTTTTCTCAGGGACGCATGGAGGTGTCAACTTAAAATTATTATAAATTTTTTTTATACAACTTAGAATGGCAAACAAGCTGACGGCCCACCTGATGGTAAGTGGTAACCGTCGCCTATAGACATGACCAGTACCATGGACATAACAGAGTATATTGTTTCGCACATGATACCCCCCATGCGTTGCCATTCCTGAGGACTCATGTGTCATTCCTCTGTACCCAGTAAATTCACGCCATATCCCACCCTTCAAACCGAAACGCAGCCATGCAAACACAACTGCTTCACGGTTGAAACACAAATGGGACAGAGGTACCCAAGCCATCGACTTTTGTACAAATTCTCCCACTGGTAAACGAGTATACGAGTATACATCCTTTAAAATTGTTTAAAAAAATCAAATTTCAACTCAATCAAAACATATGGCCGTTTATATTGAACATTTTGACATTTGCAAGAGATATAGGGTCCTTATAGGGTCTGTCCCATTTATTTAGAGTAAGAAAATTTGACAAGTAAAGGTAAAAAAAATTAGAAAATCTAAATTTCTAGTTACTACAACCACCTATCCGTTAGGTTGTAATGATGACGGCGGTAATGATGATTTATAATAATGATTACATTTAAAGTTTAAAATATCGCGAAATGTCTTTAAATCACAATCGCGGTTAAGCCGCTTTTCTTTCGACCCTCTTTTGTCACGTGACGTCGCGCAACAGCTGTGCACTAGAAGAAATGCACACGCACTGTTGCCGTTTGCAGTTTTGCATAATATTACGAGATATATTGTTTTTTCTTTGCATTTCCAATGGGGAATGCGTAACATGTGACTCTGTTTAATTAAATTTTATTATTAAGTACACATGTTTGGTTCATGGTGTTTTATTATACGTACTATGACAGACAGTAATGAAAAGTAACATGCTTACGTTTAAGTTACATTATTGATTCTTTTGTGTTTCATTCATAAACAATAACTATTTTTTTTCGTCTATTCAAAAATGCACCGCCTACGTATTTATCGGTTTGCCCAATGGTTGACTGGTAGAGAACACCGTCCGGTGTTAAGTCCGCCAAATGTACATAGAATTTATAGAATTTTACTGTGAATATTTTTTTTCAATTTAGTTTAGTTGAGTTTTAGTTAGTTTAGTTAACTTAATAACCTAGTTGTTATTAGAATTAAGCTAACATAAAAAACCCTTCTTTCATCTCATAATAATCTAATGTTACATAATTATGAGTGGATAACTCAAAATATTTTATCTAGTATTTCTTTTAGTCAAAAAAGACATAAACAAATAAATAGCTTGTTTGGTATATTAGTTAAATTTAATATATTTTAATTAGCTTTTACCAGTGACTTCGTCCGTGTGACCGGGATATATTTTTTTTACAACGCAGAAAGCAAACGAGCATGCGGTTCACCTGATGGTAAGTGACTACCGTCGCTCATGTCAGGTCTCCTTTTACCTCTTAATATGTTTTTGTACATTCACATACTGTGTAGATAGGTTATTGCAATATATATATATATATATATATATATATATATATATATATATATATATATATATATATATATATATATATATATAATAACATAATAATGCAATAATAATAATAACAATATATATATATATATATAATAACTATTATACCTTTTACTTAGTGGCTCTTAATATTAAGTTCCAGTTGTGGTACCAAGAGTTGGCTAAACGACCAGTCAGCGAGCGAATCACTTTCACCTTATTTGCAACTACTGCCCCATGAAGACCCGTTCGTGCCCGCACCAAAACTATTAGCGTAACTTGCCGCCCATTGCTGATCCAAATAGCAGCGGCCTAAACCGGCGAATTATTGGAACATAACAAAATATGACCGGCGGGTTTACCTCCATAAATCGGTTTACATATGCAATAAAGTAATGAGATTTAACCCTCCCATTCGCGTTTACGACATACCCACGCTGTCCAGATAGATCAAATAAATATGTTTTTTTTTCTTGTATAGAAACTTTTGTTGGGAACACACGAGAAAATGATGGCGTTTAAAGTTATAAGATTTTTTTTTTATTTTTACGTGTATCCATGACGGGAGTCAGTGTATGTAGGTAGCTCAGGGCCGTTCCTTATGACAGTCTATGGAGGAGGCCTACGTTCAGCAGTAGAGAGAGACTTTGTACAAAAGTCGATTGCTTGGGTACCTCTGTCTCATTCGTGTTTCAACCGTAAAGCAGTTGTGTCTGCATGGCTGTGTTTCGGTTTGAAGGGTGGGATATGGCGTGAATTTACTGGGTACGGAGGAATAACACCTGAGTCCTCAGGAATGGCAACGCATGGGGGGGTATCATAGGTAAAACAGTATACTCTGTTATGTCCATGGTACTGCTCATGTCTATAGGCGACGGTTACCACTTTCCATCAGGTGGGCCGTCAGCTTGTTTGCTATTCTAAGTTCAATAAACCTCTGTCTCATTCGTGTTTCAACCGTAAAACAGTTGTGTCTGTATGACTGTGTTTCGGTTTGAAGGGTGGGATATGGCGTGAATTTACTGGGTACAGAGGAATAACACCTGAGTCCTCAGGAATGGCAACGCATGGGGGTATCATGGGCGAACAGTATACTCTGTTATATCAGTGGTACTGCTTATGTCTATAGGCGACGGTTACCAGTTTCCATCAGGTGTGCCGTCAGCTTGTTTGCCATTCTAAGTTGAATAAAAAAAAATTTTTACTGTCATGATTACGATGATGTATATTTATATTTTTATACAATTAAATAAATAAATTTAAATACAATATTCTTTACCTATCCCAATAATGTAATACCGCATTCGTGACGCCCCATTCACGCCAAAGGTTGACTGGTAGAAAATGCTATCAGCATTAAGTCTGCCTTTTGTACCATATTTTCTTTTGATCAATAGACTATTTAATTAAAACATACATCAAATACATATATATATATTTAAATTCTTATTGCACTTGTAAATTACATTGTTAATGCATTTATAAATATTGTGAGCAAGGGTGGACTTATCTCTGACAGAGATCTTTTCCAGTCAACCCAATGTAGTTAGAAAACATGTTGCTAGCGGGCAGTGCAAGTGCTACAACTATTAAGATTTAGTGTACATAAACAAATATACAGTTAAATAAAATATT